CAGAGCCCAGCTACGTGGAGCCACAGGTGAGAGTTAGGTGCCAGCAAATGGACGCTAGGCGTAGTCTCACCTGCAAGCAAGTGAGGGACCACTACGACCATCACGTGGACCCACCGCTGACACCCCTACACCCCACAAGCCAGGGAGTACGCAAAGCCTGACACCCGAAGACAATGAGTCAGCGACGACGACGCTGATCTCGAGAGGGGGCCGCCACATAACCGTGCGGTCATCTGGACGGGCGTGATCCAGAGGCAAGCCAAATGATGTTGCACTACCTAGTCATTGTATATTATCAGGTTCTGTTCTGCCATTGAAAGGTAGACAACCGTCTACTCGGCATGCTGACAGATAGAAAACCCTGACGTCGTTAGAAAGCTAGTGCAGCCTGCGGCTCAATCACTCGGTCTGGCGACGCCGATCGATATCTCGGTTTTCACTGAATACCCGCAGTCGGACCTGCCTCAGGCCCACGCACACACCTTGCGCTGGCAAACCACACCACTGAAGCTTTTGCGACTGACGATTTCTTAACCACATGTATGCCCCCTGCCGTAGTAGACTGCTCTACTATGATGGAGTTCTGGACTGGATGGAAGGGCAAAAAGCTAAATCTGTCCCTTACTAGTTCACTTAGGTCAAAATGTTCAAATCCTCGATAAGAAATGTAGAACATTAGGTGAGACATAGTGTAACGCGCCACGACCTAAACAGATTGTTTAACTGGAGTGAAGGACACTTGGGTGCGGACCCAGGATGGGGACGGTGTGATGGAGTGTCGGGAAGATGCCACTGCCCCCTTCCATTTTCAGCTGCTGACAGTTGTATCCATGGCTATTGTCGTCTCGGGTCGTCTCATGTTCTCTCTCGCTCAGTATCAGCATTCCCACGTCCCTCCCCAGCGCTGCACTCCCCGCCGGTGGTCTAACAGACACAATGACACTCCTCCACTCCAGATGGGACTATAGCTAATGTAACACCCCTTTTTAAATTACAGTGTATGCTTGCTTCACGTTTACATGATTACTATCTTAGAATAGTCTTCTTATGTATTTGCCACTTCTTCTAATGACCTTGGCATGTGTGACTCGGCGTGATGTTTACCAGCCCTGTTCAATATTCTCGTTGACCGGGTATAGACAGCGGGTGCCCTTTATCCGTGTGTGTGTGTGTGTGTGTGTGTGTGTGTGTGTGTGTGTGTGTGTGTGTGTGTGTGTGTGTGTGTGTGTGTGTGTGTACCAACCTATACGTTGTCGGCCGCTGCAATAATTCAGCGCAGTCTGCCCAATGGACCTAATCTAATACGGCGTGACAGTTCGATCACCGCAAGCGGCACTCACGCAGCAATCGGTGATTTGCGCGTAAATTAGTTTATAGTTTAGTTTATAGTTTATAGTGCAGCATCTGCCTCACCTCCCCCTCCTCCACCGCCTCCAGCGGTGGAGAACAGGTCCATACTGCGTTGCATCTCCTCTTCCGAGGTGGTGTTCAGGACGCAGTCTTCGGCGAAGAGGAGTTCGTGAACGGTGATTGTGGATACGCGCGATTGAAAGTGCATCCGCCGTTGATTCAGGAGATGACCGTCCGTCCTGTAGGCGATGCGGATCCCGGGGCGTTCGTCGCGGTAGGCGTCCATCAGCATGGCAGAGAACATAAGACTGAAGAGGGTAGGCGCCAGCACGCATCCCTGCTTCACTCCGTTGGTCACTGCGAATGCCTCTGAGACAGCTCCGTTGTCCGTGACTCGCGCCATCATACCGTCGCGCAGCTGAAGCACCATCGCGATGAATCGCTCCGGACGGCGTAAGCCCACAGCTGGACTTGCCACTACATTCCAATGTTGGCATTTGTTATGGAGTGCGCATTCCCTATAATGCCTGCCGGACTTCGCTCTAGCCCCCCCCCCCTCCGTTAGTCCGGCGCATCTATCGTGTGACACGTTTTAGAGGGCGCTCTACACGTGCCACAGACGTGACCCGGTCGGCATTACAAGCACGGTGTCTCTCCGTAAGATCGGTTCGGGTCCCACTTGCGTGAAAGTGCCCTAAAGGCTGCATTCGGGCAGAGTCGCTGCGGCCCGATCCTCAGCTCTCCTGTCCCTCCAAAATACTCCCGTAAAAAAAAACTAAAACACGCAGCCCAATAAGGGTTTGCTAAGTGTCGCCTTGAATTCATGTGTGGCGACTGCATGCTACTGTGACGTCTAAACAGTGGGCGTGAGTACTCATCAGGACAAGCTCCAAGTAGCAGTATAAGACAGAAGGCACCAGAAGGAAGAATTTACTGTGCACAGACCTCTGACTTGCTGTCTCAGGCAGCAGTGACCGCTGGCGAAGCCAAGGCCAGTGTAGACTGTTTCCGGTCATACCTGACATAGTGTAAGACGAGTGTTGTCAGCTGCTTTAAGAAGTTCGTGGAGTGCATTCAAGTGCTGTCCATTTGCTGTGTGTTGGATTTGCCTGGGGGGAACTGGGCCTAGTAAAATGTTGCATTTGCCGAGGGATTAAGTGAGGGATTGAGCACATGGGGGGCCGCAACAGTCTGGCTTCACGTGTGGCCGAGTGGAAGTCGTTCAAGCGAGTCTGGATCAGCCGGCCGCGAAGGCGAATGACCTTGAGGCAGCAGGCCTTGGACAAGGACGTCAGACATGGTGACGGGAGGTGCCGACGCCAATACCGCGAATGCATCACTCGATGCAGTAATACTCCTCTCTAGTCTACCCACGACGGACTCTATTAATTCTGAGCGTCCTCCTACTGATAACAATCATTATTGATATCCGAAGTTTTAAACAGCCTCGGCTTTCATGAATCGTCGCAGACCTTTCCTCTGGATGAGCCACCGCTGTGTTCTCGCGAAGGCGAAATGGGTACACAAGGAGTCATGAAACACCTGCCTCACCTTCCCCCCCTCCACCAACCTCCCTTTGATGGCAAGACAATGTCAAGGTGATCAAAGATGAACGCGGGTGCGCTGCTTAACAAAGTTGGCCAGCCCGTGCACGCGTGCCACACATGCGTCGATCCCCGTTTAACCTACCAGACTGCAATAAGGATGAGTCGGATCTCACGTGAGTGAGCACCATGTCACCTCAATAAGACGCCGTGACCTGACAATCAGTGCTGAGACTGTAGGCAGTCGGTATGCAGTCTTCCAAGTCACGACGGTTAGCTCGTCGTTGTAGATTAAGACGCGTCTGATTTGCTATGGCGAGAAATGCGCTGATTCGGCATTGGGGTGGAACCCCCAGTGCCCAGCTTGCGATCCCTGCCTCTCCCAAGCGCCAGCCGGTTGTCCGAGCCTATCCCGACAATGAGACTGGCCACACGACGTGGGGGCCTGCGTCTAGGATGTGCCGCCATAGGTTATTTGTGCTTGCTCGGACTCCGCACAGCCCGATAAACGCATGCCGTGAGCTAGTTTGACGCCCGTTTTCGCTCCGCGCGCCCGCATCGCAGGCCGTTTTGGAAGGCCCGCAGTCCAGTTAACTGATCTATTGAAAAGTCCCATGACAGTCTATAGAAGGCAATCGCAAAACGCGCTCAGAAGCTGAAAACCTTTCATAGGCTAAGAATTGGGTGAGCGTTAACCTTCGTAACTTTCTGGGATAATGCAACATCGAATCTGCGCATATGTAGACGACTCTCAAAGGGCAAAGGTTTCCCACCGTCGAGCCGATCGGAGCGCTTCGCGCACAAAAATATTGCTCATGGAAGTGAACAGGCGAGTTCAGGGTAGCCGTTCAGAAGACGAAGATGTGATCACTGGAACAAGAAATTTATTGGCCTGACGTTTCGGATTCTCACTCGAATCCATCATCAGAGACAGTCGCAGACATCTTGTAGCTAGGTGCCTCTAACCTCGGACACCTATGCCCCTTCCCCGCCGCCTGTCCCTATAAGACGATTTTGGTGGTGGTTTCATGAGAAGATCACCAAGGTTTGACAGGCCTCAGAGGATATTATGAACTTAAAAGATCAGACGAATCTCATCCTGCCAAATACGTTATTACTCAAACTACTCAGGGATTGGCCAGTGCGTAAAGAGACTCGGGGAGTTGTCTGGTCAATTGGCTCCCCCGGTGGGAGATGTCGAATAAGGATGCGCCATCTATTTACCGCCACTGGCAATCACCGCAGCCAGTTAGTTGATGTCACCGAGAAATAGAACCTCCGGTCTTGCTCCTTAGTTTCGTACTTCATGAAGTCGGGGAACAATCCTACCCAGTAACAGTGCAAGTGTTTATCTCAGGCACCTTAAGTCTTCGCCGTTAATCATCCAACTGCTGAGGACAAAAAGTGATGTGTTTCGTATCCTGCTAGGCAGTCTTCTGCCAGACCTGATTCAGGTGAATCTTCGTCTTTTTCAGCGTCTCCGTCTCGATCTCAAGGGCCGAATTCCCTGCACGTTCCGAGCTTCTGGTCGACCTGAAGTATAGTTCTTACTGACAACCGAACGAACCTTCACCATCTCTGTTGGGCAACTGTCCGTAGACTGCTGATCGTGTCGCATGAGTTTTTATCTTGGCACCTATTTGCGAGCCGACGCAGACTTTACACTGCCAACAGCATTTACTTCCCAGCACCTCGAACCATTGCTTAAACTCCCTTACATTTTAAAAAAATTGCTCTTTTAATTAACGCGCTCATTTCTGTTGGCATATGAGTGAGTATGATAAGACTTTCGGCAGAAATCCAAACGATTTCCGCGTTTTCTTGCATTTCGTCAACTTACTGTCTGGCGGGCTGCCTCACCTGCAAGACCCTTATTACTACCATTCCCGTATGACACGATCCACAGTCTACCGACAGTTCAATGGGGTCCTTCACCCTACCGTTGCCCTTTGTTGTTGCGAGCCCTTTCGCCGTCTTGCGCATGCCTGACCGTGCTCGCCCCAACATCCCCAAGCAATCTCCAGGGCTGACAAACCGTTCACTCCGTGAAGTGGATGACAAGGGCCCGACATGCGCATATTCGCCTCAATGGCCCTCCAAGTCACCTAGACCACATCATTCTGACCCAAGTCGTCTGAAAACTGCCAATACGGAGATCGATGCATTTATACTCAGCATCTTCAGGCTGTCTTCGGTCGGTGTGGCTGGCAACTCGCATTCAAGCTTCAGCCAAGGAACAAATTGTCAATTCCAGGCTTCTTGTCGACAAATTGTTGTTCTGTCTTCAACAAAACCCATGATTTGGAGCTACTTTTGTCGACTGTGGAGTTCCTCAAGGTTCCATTCTATCCCGTCACCTTTTCTCCCACCACACCGACGATCTAAGATCCCCTAACGATTGTCTTTTGATTAAGTATGCTGATGATGTGGTTTTTTGACACCCTCTCAAAAATCGGACACACCTCCAGTCTCTAAAGGATGGCCTTAACCATCTGCTAGTATGGTCGGAGGAAAATGGTCTAATGAATAACCAAAAATCAGTTCAGTGTATTTTCTGACTGCGGTCCTCTCCTAGTCCTGAATCCTCTGACATCCTTCCTTACGAGGTATCCTCTTTCAGGTACCTTGACGTTACTTTGTCATCAAATCTTCCATTTTCCCTCCATACTGAGTCCCTAATTACTAAAGCTCGTAAAATTCTTTCTTACACTCGTCGTTTACGTTCTTACCACACACCTCAACCCTTAGTCTGGCGATTCATCGAGGCCTACATTCTTCCCTTATACTGCTCTACTGTCACTTTTCCCGCTTTGCTCAAAAAAGATCTTTTAATTTTAGTACGACTCCTCCGAACGCTCTCTTCTGCCGTTAGTGTTTCTTACCATTTTAGTCGATACTATCCTGCAACGACATTTCAATATGGTCAAGCAATTTGCTGGTCGGATTATAGATGACATTGTCCATCCCTTGCCTTCCTGATGGTCCAATCGCCTTTTAGGGAGAAAAAGGCTTCTTTGGAAAGGATAACCCCTTACGAGTATGGAGACATGGGCTCGAAAAACACTCATCAAAAGGACAAATAGAGAAACAGTGTGCGTCCACGGCAGCGAAGGGTGTTCGTCGGGTGAGGACATACGAGTCTCCCAAGGATGAAATCAAAGACCACTACGAGGGCCAATAAGCACGAAGGTGGGATAGTGATAAAACAGCTCGGCAAAACAGGTGGTGCGGTGCTGTCACGAGTCTGTATCTCAGTCGCGACGCGACTCGATGGCATGAACCGAGCCGATTGTTTTATTGTTACCAGTCACCTACCCCCGCACACTGCGGTAAGAACAACACGTATTCTGCCCACGAAGCAACTCAATTAGAACACAGGCGTGAAAAGTATGTAAAATGTACTTAAAAAATATAAATAGATGCCAAGGCAGGCGGAGGACGGATGCCTGTGCGGATAACACATGTATAAGGTAGTGCCAAAAAGAGGGGTGGGAGGGAGGTCGGAAGCCACCACACGAAGATTGGAAATGCAGGGAAAGCTGTGACCCACCGTGGAGAAGACCTGGAGGGGCTAAAAGGGAAGATAGACTACAGTGCTTGGTTCATAGTCCCCACCGGGAGGAAACAATAAAGGTCAGAGGCGATAAGAGACAGGGGAGAGGAGAAAGCACAAGACATTCTACGGTATGTGTCTAACCGCCAAAGTGCTGGCAGAAGCACAGGCGGCGTTCACCGAGTGCATCATGGAGTGGGGATAATAGCCGGTGACTTGCGTGTGACCTAGTTAGTGCTGCGACAGACTTGCGAAGGATCTACCGCACTCTCTCTCTTTCCTCACCCACCTTCCACAGACGGCAAGACGGCGTCAAGACGACTGGAGATGTGT